GCAGTGCTAATGCTGATGGAGAGCTTACATGTGTCTGACACTGTGCCGAGCCCTTTCCAATTATTGTCTAACTTAATCCTACCTAAGAGGAAGAACTATTATTATCCTCATTTCACCTAGGGGAGAATGGAGACAGGGAGCATGAAGTAACTTGCCCACGGGCACACAGCTCAGGAAGTGGTGAGTGAAGACTCCAGTTCTGGCAAGGCTATGGGAGAGACCCTACTTGCTCTTGAGTGTTCTCCAAAACAGCAGCTGCCACGATGGGGCTGATTCAGGAGAGGCACAGGCAGAGGAAGGTGCCATGGAGGCACAGAGATTAAATGCTTGGCAGCTAACCAAAAGGTTAGTAGTTCAAACACGCTAACAGTCTGTTCCTGGAATTTCAGCTTTGGAAATTACTCTGTCCTACAGAGCCACCAGGAACTGGAACAGACCTCATGGAAACACATTTTTTTAAAGACAGAGGAAGTTCTCGAAAGATCCTATGTCAAATATTTCTGTGACAATATCTGGCATTTAATAAAAGTTCCATTTTACTTTCAGCTTTTTATAGCCACAGTCTGGTGCCAGAAAATTACAGTCTGTTCTAGAAAATTATGATCAGTCTCATATGGTAAGGAAATTATAGCACTGGAAGGTCAAAGGCTGAAGAGCAGTTATGTTAAATGGAAAAAGCACAGACAGGATTACTCCTAGGTGTAAGAAAATTTCAACTCCGAAATAATAAGAGACATTCACAGAAATGGTTTCTGAATAGGAAAATTGGACATTTTTGGGAAACCTTTTGCCACCACTATCAGGAAGGTAGGCTAAAGTACTAACGAGTTATTTCCCACAACTTTTTAGTTACATTTGCTTAGGGTATTCTTGAGGTTTTCAAGAAAGAGTATGGGACTTGAAAATCAAAGAGAGATCAGTAAAACTTTGAAAAAGTGACTGAAGCACTGCCTGGCCTCAACATCCCCACGTGAAAACTGAGTGATAATTAATTTCACCTGTTAGAAAGATGAAATGAAATAGCAAAACTAAGAGACTCATATCATACTACTTGTCACAGAAGCATTTTAATTAAATCTTATTTTCTTTTTCCTCCAATAAACTCTCATCTCAGCATACACTTTTGCTTTCTAATCCAATGTTCTTTTGCTTCACACAACCATTCCCACATCGAACACAATAAGCAAATGGGTGGTGTTTCTAGGAGGGGACTCAAGCTCCAGGGGTGGGCATAATGACCAACTTCAGAGAAAGACAGTTGACTCTCTGTTAGGTGCAGATAATTGTCCCTGCTCCATTCTCTGCTGTTTGAATTTTCAATTAATATTACATCGGTAAGATAACATGTTGAAGCAGCTCTGGGCACATCCAGTCAGCCACCCTTCTTCGCCTCATCTCAGTCCTACACCTCAACAGAGAATTATTTTTTTTTTTTTAACAGATAAATCTTGCTTTGGCCATTTTCAGATGTCTCTGAGCCTATACTACTGGGGAATGAAATCAAGTGATAAATGACAATAAACAAAGCAAGTATTCATGAGTTCACAAGCAGGAATCTGACTAACACCTAACCACTGTTTAACTGATATTCATAATTTGTCAATGAGTAGTAAGTACAAATGTTGTTGTTGTTGTTATGTGCCGTCGAGTCGTTTGCGACTCATAGCGAACCTATGCACAACAGCCCTAAACCCTGCTCTATCCTGCGCCAAACGCACTGCCTCTGAGACACCCATCCCGATTACCCCAGTCACCGAATCAATCCATCTCATAGAGGGTCTTCCCCTCCTGCGCTGTCCCTCAACCCTCCCAAGCATGATGTCCCTCTCCAAGGACCCGTCCCTCCTGGCAACATGTCCAAAGTATGTCAGACGAAGCCCCAGAATCCTTGCCTCCAAAGAGTAGCTTGGTTTAATCCTCTCCAATATGAAACTGTTTGTTTTCCTGGCAGTCCATTCAGTACTCTTCTCCAGCACCACAGCTCAAAAGCATTAACTCTCCTTCTGTCCTCCCTAGTCATTGTCCAACTCTTTGATGCATAACAAGCAATTGCAAATACCATGGCCTGTATCAGGCGCACCTTAGTCTCCAGAGAGACACCCCCGTTGCTCCTGAGTGCTTTAGAGAGGTCCCTAACAGCAGACTTTCCATCGCGATATGCTTTTTGATTTCCTGACTGCTGGTGCCAAGAGTGTTGACTGTGGAGCCGAGCAAACTGAAGCTGTGAACACTCTCAATCTCTTCGCCATCCATCCTGATGCTGCCAATTGGTCCAGTGGTGAGAATCTTTGTCTTCTTGACATTGAGCCTCAGTCCATACTGAAGGCTGCAGTCCTTGACCCTTCGCAGCAAGTGCAAGAGGTCCTCCTCAGTTTCAGCAAGCAGGGTTGTGTCATCTGCATAACGCAGATTGTTAATAGATCTTCCACCAATCCTGATGCCACAATTCTCCTCATAGAGCCCAGCCTCTCGGATAATCTGCTCTGCATACATGTTGAAAAAGTATGGAGACAGGATGCATCCCTGGCGTACACCCTTCCCATTTTTGAACCATGCAGTGTTACCCTGCTCTATTCTGACTACTGCCTCTTGGTCCAAGTATAGGTTTCGCATTAGCACAATTAAATGTTCTGGGATTCCCATTCTTCTCAGAGTCAGCCACAGTTTGTTATGATCCACGCAGTCAAATACCTTTGCATAATCAATGAAACACAGATAGACATTCTTCTGGTATTCTCTGCTTTCAGCCAAGATGTGCAAATACAATACTAATTAAAGAGTATCACTTGCAAGTACTGTACTCCTTCCAGAATAATCCATATAAGACCAAAGGTCAACAATTAAGTTAAAGTGAGAAGGGAAAAAGAGAGAAATGACACTTAATGAGATAAACAACAGTAGGGAAATAATGAGAATATCCGTGAAGAATATAATGGAAGTCAATGAACAACTAAATCTAAAATGTTGATAAAACTTTACCAAAATACAAGAAAATATTAATTTTTAAAAAGCAACACTCAAAAAAAAAAAAAAAGGGAAAAAAAGCAACACTCTTCCTTCACCTGTTTCTCAGTAATATGGGAACCTGTTACCGTGTAACTAAGGTTCAAGATCATTACTTAGTCACTACTAGCTACTGTCTGTTGTTGCCATCACGTCAAAGCTATACTGCCCTCAATAACTGTCTGTTTGAAATCCACCAGCTGCTCTGTGGAGAAGATGGGGCAGTCTCCTCTCGTGTGATTAATTGCCTCTGAAAACCCACTTGAAAGTTAGCTATGGGTTGGTTCCAATTTGATGGCACACAACCACATTTCATAATAAACTTTGACTTTTAATTTTAATCCATATAGTGACCCTGTGATTGCCCAATAACGCCAAATTTTAAGAGTTAAAAAAAGCACGTGTACTTGCTAGAAGTTATTGAGAATCAATTTTTTTACTCAAAGCAATCTAGGGATACCATCAACTGCCTCATAGGGGTTGCGAGGCTAACAGTCCCACAGAGACTCTTCTCCAGCTCCTTCCCACACTGTGAATCTCTTAATTAGCTGGTGAGAGCTTAAAAATTACCACTAGGTCTTTTTCCATAAAACAGATGTGGGTGTTTGTGTGATTAGATAGATAGATAGATAGATAGATAGATAGATAGATAGATAGATAGATATAGATGGATACATACATACACACAGGCTGTTTTTGTGTACTATCGAGTCAGAACCAATCCATACCTGAACATCTAGATGATTTTCAGAGCAGAATCGCATGGGAAGAGACTGACCATCCTTCTCCCATGGAGCAGCTGATGGATTTGAACCGTGTGCCTTTGGAATTACAGTGCAGTTTCTTACCTTTAGGCCACCAGAGCTCACTTATGCAAAGGTACATCATTCGGATCTATCAGTTGCTTTCTGGAAGATGGGCAGTATCTTCCCATGTGACTTACTGCCTTTAAAAAACCCACTAGAGGGTCAGCTATGGGTCAGTTCGGACTAGATGGTACACAACACCAACATGATACAGTCTAGTAGTTTGATCTAGCTAATAGCCTAGGCTAGGATAGAGCATGGTTTAGAGTTATTGTTCATGTGCTCACTGTAAGTTGTAGTAGATAGGACAGTACATAGTAACAATAGCTAATAAATATAACCATATGTCACTTCTATCTCCAATCCTAGTAACATTCCAAAGAGAAATGGAGCTATAATTTTGTGTTTGGAAATGTCAACTTTAATTTTTTTCAGCTTCTGGCTCTGACTTAGCCACCACACTTGGGGGAATCTTATTCTATAAATAGAGTTCTACAATGTATACCCTCATGCACTGATGTTTTGAAATATCAAAACCAGAATGACAAATATGTTTATGAAAGAAATAACCTGGTGAAATACTCATATACCAAATGAATGATATAGCCATTTTTTTTAAAAAGGGAAAACAATAAGATATAAATGTGTATATGGAGCTATCTTGTTTGTATTTACATATTTTTAAATCTCAGAATAGTATATAAGAAACTAGTAAAATTGATTATAGAATTGGGGAAAGGAAAATTGAGAATTAAGTAGGTACAAGACAGGTGTACAGAGAAAGTTATTTACTGAGTAAATATGTATTTACCAGGAAAAATAAATCTTTGAAATATTTGTGTGCTATGTGAATGTATATTAAGTAAAAAAGTGTATAATAAAGGGCTGATTAGTGGTAAAAAATCATATTCTATCCCTTCAATAGTAAAACAATAAAGTCATATGTTGTGATTATAATTTTTCTTTTGTTTTTAATAGCATATATGCCCACATTTGAAAACAAAAATGAACCAAAATACTTAAGTCAATAAATTAAAAGACTCCCTAAAACATATTCTATATATTTAAATGTTATGAATCCTATGAAGGTGCTCTGCTCACCACAGAACCTTCAGTCTAAGCAGGTGACTCTGGGCCCTCTGATCAGGCTACAAGACAGTCACCAGCACGGCTGTCGACAGGTAAGCTCACCTTCATAGGTGCCGACCTCCAGAAGGGTCCCGCTCTGCTCAAGGTCCAAGAACTCCTTCACAGTCAGAAAGTTATAGTCGACGCCAGGCACTTCTCCTTCTCTCGGTGATCGGGTTGTGCCTGCGGCAGGAGAGAAAGAGGCACAAAACACTATCAGCCAAGAACTGAAGAAGGAATTAAAATAACCTGTTCAGTAAGTGGCCCTACGTTAGCTCTGCAAATGCTTTTGTCCAGACAGGACCCTGGAAGAGGCAACCTCTAATAAAACAGCACCCCTACTTCCACCTCCCACTATCCCAGTGCCTGGGAGGTAGGAGAAAAAGAAACTAACAGGATCTAAGCAACCAAGGCACATTTTTACCATTTTTCTAAAATGTACTGAATAAACACGGTGGACTGGCTTTTGTGCAGACAATAGCCACAATCAGCAGCTTTTAGGGGCTCCAGTAAATACGAAAATATAATCCACCTTAAGCTCAGAGCCTAAGGGGTTTATCATTTTATCAGAGGCCTTGAAATTCTTGTGTTCCTCAATATATCCGGCAAGTCCCAATGTAATAAGCCCTTTGAAGAAAATGACACACACTGCATAAACACAGGACTACAGAAATGTGATTGCCCAAGATGTGGGGCTGGACAGCTCCCAGGACTGAAAATGCTGCTGTTCTCTGTGTAATTAATATGCCTCAAAAAAAGAGGCCACCTCTTAAGTTCTGACTAGAGGGGAAAGAGCATTACATTTGTTGGAAAATTCTTTCCTTGACTTTATCTGGCCATCTTGTCTACTCTTGAGTCTTCTGGCCTCCAGAAGATTAAGTTACCCAGCTCAGGAGTGGACCTGTGATTCTGTCGTTTTAGCTCAATATCAACTAAAAGGAAAGTGCACATATGTGTACATCAAAAGGAAAAACCCCAAACAAGTACCAATTACATAGTATGTACTAGGAATTTAGGCCAAGTATTATGGAAGACTGTAGAAGATCCCAAATGTGATTTCTGTGCCTATAGTCAAATTGGAGGGTTTAAATGCCATGATGCATTCTGCAAGGCCTATGGTGCCTTTTCTTAGACCTATACTGCATACATTCTGGGTTCTACATATAGATGTCTGCCCTTGCTTCTTATTACCGTACATTGTTTCACATTAGCAAATAAAGGTCCCAAAAGCCTTCCTCTAAGCGTATCACTAAAGCTTAGCTTCACTCTGAGGAGAAAGCCTTTTTCCAGTCATACTGAGTCTCCAACCTGATATACTAATTTTCTAGTGTTACGTTAGACAATGTGTTCCTGCTATGCATAAGGTTTGCATTGGCCAGATTTTTCAGGAGGAGTTTGCTAAATCCTTCCTCCTTTCTTAGTCTGAAAGCTCCACAGAAGTGAATCCACCAAAGGTGACCCTGCTGGTATATAAGACACCAGGGCTGTAGTTCTCAGCTTCACAGTATCACACAAGTCAACGGCGTGTGTCAGGGGTGTATATTTTATCCACCCTTATTCAATTTGATGGCTATAAGCTAATAATCTGAGAAACCAGGCTGTGGAAAAATAGCACACCAAAACAAGTGTGAGATATCATCTCACCCCAGTCAGAAGAGCAAAAGTTAAGAGAACAGCAAGCAACAAATGCTGGCAAGGTTGTGGAGAAACTGGAACTCTTAGTCATTGTTGGCGGGAGTATAAAATGGTGCAACCACTGTGGAAGGCAGTATGGCGCTTTCTCAAAAAGTGGCAAATAGAGATACAATTTGACCCAGCAATTCCACCACTGGGAATATACCTCAAAGAGACCATAACTGCCACCCAAGCAGATATATGCCACCCATGTTTATCACGGCTTTGTTCACAATAGCAAGGAGTTGGAAACAACCTAAGTGCCTATCAACAAACGAATGAATAGAGAAGCTGTGGTATATTTACACAATGGAATACTATGCTGCATTGAAAAACAAGGAACTCATGCAATAATATTCAAATGGGTGACCCTGGAGGATACTATGCTGAGTGAAGTATCTCAGTCACAAAAGGATAAATACTGCACCGTGCCACTCATGTAAAACAGGACTGACATTGGGGTTGGGGGAGACTAAGAAAGATGGTTTAAATGATGTACACTGCATTGAAACAGATGAGGGAGAAAATGGTTTAAAAGGGGTATGATTAGGTATTTTTGTCATGACAGGAGTCCAGAGTGAAGGCTGCATAGTGGAATGGACCTACGGGGAGTGATTGTAAAACAATGAAAGAATTTTTACTTTTCCAAGAGGGTAGGCTGGGCGGGGAGAAAAGTATAACAATGAATGAATGGAAATCCAAAGTCTCTGTAAATTTTCATTGAAATTCATAAGTTAAATAAAAAGTAAAACAGCACAGCATCAAAATAGAATCAGCTAAACAGCAGTGGGTTCAGTGCAAAAAGAGGTGTCTTTTCAACTATTTAAAAGCTACAAATGTAAAAAGTGAAAACGATGGTGAATTTATTATAACTAAAGATTTGGTGGTATCTTTCCTAAGTGAAGAGAACTTTACTAATGTTTAAGGACAAGTAGGCATTGTCTGTAAGCCTAATGTTCCTATCCTGGGGACTGCTTATATTTTAAATAGACAACTGGAAAAATTCTGGATGAGCAGGTCCACTTTTATTGTGAGTCACAGAAAAATGATGGGGAAAGCATTGAAGGCAGGGAAAGTAGCCAAAGGCTTTAAAATGGGGTCAGGTGTGGCATACTGAGGGACAGGTAAAAAGGTCTTCTTTAGCAGAGTGAGGTGTTGGTATGTGCCACTGAGCCAACTATGACTCCTAGCAACCTTATAAACAACAGCTCTGAACCCTACCCTATGCTGAGCCAATCTCACTATCTGACACACTTGACCCCATTGTCACAGCCTCTGTGCCAACCCATCTCATCCAGGATCTTGCTCTCCTGAGCTGTCCTTCCACCCTTCCAAGCTTGAGGTCCTTCTCCAGGGACTGACCCCTCCTGATAACACATGCAAAATACATGAAATGGAGCTTCAAAATCCTGGCCTCTGCCTTTCACCCTCTCCAGGACAGACTTGTTTGTTCTCTTGGGGGTCCACTGTATGCTCAACACTCTTCTCCAGCACCACAACTTAAAAGCATAGGTTTTTCTTCTGTCACTCTTATTTACTGTTCAGCTCTTGGATGCATAGCAAACAACTGGTAAGACCATGGTCTGGATTAGGCACACAGTAGTCCCTAGACCCACATCAGTTCTCTTTAGAACTCTACAGAGGTCTCAAGCAGCAGATTTTTCCCAGCACAACTTTTAGTTTCATGACTGCTGATGCCAAGGGTGTTGATGGTGGATATGAGCAAGGTTATGATTGAGGGGTAAGCAGTTGGAAATAAAAGGTCCAGGTTATAAGGTCATAGAAAACAACTCAGGTTTTATTCAAAGGATGCAGGGAAGTCTCTAGAGGGTTTTGAACATGGTGGTGCCATGATTCAAGTTTCAATTTAAAAAAATCATTTGGCTTTATGAAGAACAGATGGAGTAGGGACAAGAATAGATGCAGGGAGACCAGTTAGGAGGCTATTAAAGTGCTCAGGAGAGAGAGAACACAAGAATGCAGACTAGTCTAGCAAGATGGAGGTGGTAAAAGGAGTCAGATTTTTACTACAAAATGTACTATTTTATAGAGTTGTCAATACTTCAAAGGATAGATGTATTAAAAGTACATGGATCCATCACATCATCATAGATCTATTATTCTGAAGACATATCAAATAAGGCTAGCAAATGCATAAGATGTGAGCTGTCAGAATAATGGAAGAATAAAAACTGACTTGGTTTCCTGATCTGGGAAAATGGGTTATATGGGCTATTAACAGAAATTAGGGGAGGGAAACTAGGGGGGAAATGGCATTGGGCGTGGAGAGGAAATCAAGATTTCCATGTTGGATATGTTCTATCTGAGATGCCTCTAAGAAGCCCTGGTAGCACAGTATGGAAAGTGCTCAGCTATTAAAGAGTTGGTGTTCTTTTGCTCCAAGGGAGAAAGATAATCGGTCTCTATCCACCATAATTTAAAGCCTCAGAGGGTCTCAATGCATCAGAATGGACTCCACTGCAGTGGAAGTGCATCTGGAACTAGATACTGAGGTGCTGAAACCTGGCAGGCAAGGTACTGCATGAATCTGAGGTCAGGGAGGAGGCTGTGACATAGAGTGTAACTGGTAAACCACTGACATTTCAAGGGTTACAAACAGAAAGATCCTCGAGAGAAAGACTGTGGAAAAAGAATTCAAAAGGTTTGGATTGAACATGAAGAGACTGAGTATTTCAGAGACCAGGAAGAAGCAGCTCTCAGAAGACTAAGACACAGCCAGTGAGGTAGGAGTGAAGGAAGGGAGATGAAGTCCAGGAGGCAAGTGAAGAAAGCAGTTCAGCCAGCTCCTTGTAAAACACAAACCATTTACATCATATTGAGAAATCCTTGTGCAGTACAAGAATAGCATCTCTCCTGGAGGCTCCCCAGAAAAGGCTATGTCCTAAATACGTTCTACACGTTTCATTCGCTCATACATTCTATACGGAAGTTTCTCCAATTCTAACAATCTATTACCTCGTCTCTCCCAAAATAAACTGAAGCAAAGACTTGTTGGGTTTCTGATGTCTGCAACCAGCATTTCTCCCATTCCTCCAATAGCCATCTTTGTCATTTCCTTCAACCTTGTTTCCAGATCTAATATATCAGATTGATATTAAGGAAAACAATCACCCTTGGATTTTAATTTTCTGAGAGGATTCAAAAGAATCAAGACCGCCCCCCAAAATACTGCATTTGCAAACAGTTAGGGGAAATGGGACCAGCAAATAACATTTTCCAATTTAAATAAATATGCTGGGAATGGCCTTAGAGAAGCAGGCGAAGGGGGTGGGTGGGCGTGTGAGTCTCCACCCACAAGACCTTCAGGGTTTATTCCCCAGACAAAACCATTCAGTGCAGCAGGCTAACAGGAGGTTTACCCCTAGTTATCCTCTAAGCAAGCCGCCCTGGGTCTGGGCCAACATGACCAGACCCCATTCAGCGACACTGGGGAGAAAGGGCCTGGGGAGGGGACCCGCCTCCTCTTTTCTTGTTGCAGAATGACAGGC